GCACGTATTGCCAGTTCCTCCATACAGACAGCAATCTCAGGGGTGGGGAGAAGCAACCAGCTGGTACCATCTTAAACTACAGCATTTAAGGCTTCTAGAGTACATCTGTCAGAGCCATTTGTGAATAAATTTCAGCATAAGAGTTCGTAGAATTGAGAACTTCATATGTAAAGATTACAAGGAAAACACAATAGATAAAAGCAGAAAAAGCTACACAGGCTGATTGATAATGTAAATGTGAGAGGGAATTATCATGGGTAAACGTAACCTTTTCTTCATTTACACCACACAGCACAGCCAGGGAGAAAACAATTGAGACTTCGAAACCTACTACATTTTCAACACAATCTGCTTCCCCAATATAAAAAACAGCTCATTACATAAAAGGTTATTATTCTGTTTCACTACTTATTTTATTTCGATAGAAATATATGAGAATTAATTTAGCTTTCTGGCTAGAGGCAAATGCAACTACAGAAATGCAACCCCATTTTGAATTTGTTGTCTTACCTAAAACTATAAATAATAGCATTAATAAGAGACAACAAATTTGTGTAGAAAATGGTGTAATACAGCTTGTCCTCTGGATTTTAACTTTCCAACTATCATTCCCAACACTAACCTACTGCTGTCATTTGCTCTTTTCCCCTCTCACACTTATCCTTTCTGCTCTGACTTCACCATAAGTTTCTGCTGTCAGAACAGTCTTTCCTTATTTATTCATTTTACCAGCTCAACATCTAGCCCTGGATTTCTACTGTACCCTTCCTTTCCTATTTCCAATCCTTCTTTACAAACCCTTCTGGGTTTACATTGGCTAATTCATCAGTCTTTCTTCCCAATTCTGCCTTTTTTTTTGATTGTAAAACATACTGAATGAAGGATAACGACAAGAACAATCACAACACAGAATGAACAATATTTTGATGATGTATGTATTACGTTTAAAACTGAAAAAAATCTCAGGACACAATAAACTGTATTGTGCAAAGCTCCACTGTATCACTGCAGTGTGTGTTTAGAAAGCCAGAATCAAACTTAAAAAATCACTAATGATGATTTTTGCCCTGTGGCTAAAAAAAAAACAAAAAAAACACAAAACAAATGAGAAACAAAGGAATGAGCACTGTCCCTGTCAGGAATGCCTCAAGTATTTACTGAACTCACTGATTACAGGGGTATCTGTGCGCAGCTAGTGATATAAAAGCACCTGCGATTCCGTGACATTTTCCCATGACCTTCAAATAAAATTCTAAAGAATAAAAATGTATCAGGAATCATAGGCTGTTGCAGATAATTCTGTGATATTAAAGCTGCATTAATGCAAGTTCTATTTGAAAACACACATGCAAGAACTTGTTCTTCCACAGCCATACCAGTAACCATCTATGTTTGTCATTACATGCAACAACAGCTCCTTCCTCTACAGCAAACACGTTTTTTCTACAACTGCCTTTCCTTCCTATTTTCTTTTCAAAAGGAAAAAAAAATATTACCTGCTTATTTAGTGTGTCAAAAAATACTTCAAGAATAAACCTGATTATTAATGAGCTATAAGAAACACTGTTGCTTCATCTCCTCCACCAACCATGCCACAAGGTTTATGTTGTACATAATACTGCAGTGATATATAGGATCATCAGGTTAGTTAACTAAATGCAGTTTCACTGTGCTTATGATTGATCAACTATGGGACTATTAAAACATTAAAAATGTTAATCTTCGTAATAATCTCCTGAAAATTCTTTATATTAATTTAAACCATGGATCATTTTAATATTTAATCATTGCAGACTTCACTTGGAATGAGGATAGCCATTCACTGAAAAGCACTTCATTTTTTATTTTGAAAAATGATCAGCTAGTATTTATTTTGTAAATCTCTTCACATATTTTCCTCAAGCAAAGCAAATGAAAAAATCCACAAGAGCAGAAAAATTTAAGGCAGAGTTTGGGTCAGAAAACATTGACTTTCACACTCCCGTTTCCCAGGAGTAACTGCATTACAAGAGTAGTACTGTACGAGAGTCAGAGGACTGGGGGAGACTTCTACTGCAAATAGAAATGACTGCCTTCTTTGTCTCCATCTTACAATCACCTATGTTGCATTCTCTTCCCATATTTCATAACGTGTAAACATAGTAATTCACTTATTCTTCACAAGTACTTATCAGAGTGACTTCCTCCCCACAATGATATTAAACTGGTTTAGTTTTTTTAACAGGCAACCCAATTTTGTAATGTTAACCCTACTCCTCTCCTCTCCTATAATTCACAGCTTGCATTGCTTAATGCAAAATTTAGATTAATATGGAAATATCCCAAAGGAAAAAACCCAACGACTTCCTAGTTATGATAAAAATCTCACAGAAACTCTTAAAATTCTAACTGTAATTAACAGTAACTAGACTTCATGGTATCAATTCATTTTGAAAAGTATTTAAAATTATCTAACCAAAACTAATTCATGGTCTAGAGAAACAAATTCCACAGAAAAATGCAAGGACAATGTCTTCATTGCACTGCAAAAATATAATCCAAAGAAAACAACTCTTGTTTTCTACATAGGGTCTACTAAAATTGGATGTTCTCTGGAGCTACTGCCATAAAGTACACTGAGCTTCAGATGCCCTTTAGAATGGGCTGCGGGAATTTCGCAGAAATACTTGAATTAAGTAAATCCTAAAGATACCCGAGTGGTACCAGAGGTTAATATATCAGCTGACATGACTAGACTTCATTCTGTATTTTTGACCAATAGTGAGGGAAAGATTTTCAAACTGGCACACAAACTGGCTTCCTAATCTGAAGAGGCTGCAGAGTCTAAAGCAAGAACTTTAATGCAGAACGGGCGGAAGTGAGTGTAGCATCTTTCAATGCATACAAACTTACACTGCATAGTTCAAATTCATGAAAAAAAACCCACAACCAACCAAGCAAAAACCAGTATAAAGATAGTGCCTTTACTCCCAATTTTATGAAGAAAGTATGTATGTCCTTGCATATTACCTATCACTAAAGTATGTTCTTAAGGAACAAGGTATGGAAAAATCCTGGTCATTCAATGTGAGGCAGTAATACACTCTGGAACTCAGCTGCTTATATGTGAAATGGAAGGAATAGTCCTGTTTATATGACTTTATAGAAGCCACATGTATTTGTCTTTGTACAAAACTCAGTGTAAGACTTAAAGCTAAATATATAAGGAATTTTGCCACTGTTGAAAGGCATCTCTGCTTTAGTAATCTGATTTGAAGTAATCTTTCAAAATCTACATGTCTGAAGAGCTCCCACATTTGCATTGAAGAAGTATTTTCTGTATTGCTTTTGTAGATACAAAATACCATGTTAAGCATAATAAGCAGGTTGTAGAACATTGTGGTAATCTCTTCTTGGCTACATAAAGCAAAATCACAGAATCCCCAAGATTGTTGATGGATCTTTTGAGGTCATCCACTTGTGCTCATCTATTCGTGCTCAACCAGGTTTAGTGAGAAGACTTATACATAAATTGTATCTGAAGTAGACTTTCCAATGCATGATGAAAGACAATCATGTCAACAAAAAAAACTGGCCAAATTTTTCTTTAGGCGAGCAGACAAGCTATTTTCTGAACAATGGATTGTCTCCAGCCCATTCTGTACCAAAGAGTAAAGTGATTGATTCAGCCAAGGATGATGTACCAAAATGCAGTATTTAAGAAATGGTTCTATTTTCCCCGCATTTGTAGAATTTAGTGTATCTCTTAAACATGACTTTATACAGTTTTCCACTACAGAAATACATCTTTAATAGCAGGTACCCTTCCATTCTGATTAGCTCTTTAGGAATGAGGCTGGGCCCCAACAGGAAGGAACTCAAAACCTATGACATGCAATTGAATTACTGAGTGTGAAGGCGTGTGCTGCATATACAGCCCAATTACACCATAAGCTCTTTCAGAGGAGGTTTCTGATACTACAATGATCTGCCCTTGTAACTGTGTGGGCTGATGGAAGGTGGCTTGAGAGCCACATGAACACTGTGGCAGAGAATACCCTGCCAACACTTCACATTTAGAAGTTTTTGCAGCTCACATATTTCTGTCCGGGATTTTCTGAGCACAGGCGTCACCAGAACACTCTGCAGAGAACACAAAGGAGTCCAATGTACCCGGAACACATCACGCCTGTAAGGCAAACATAGCCAGCTCAACACTCCGGGTTGGATCAGATTTACTGCACACCCACAGCCGGCCGAACACATCCAGCCGCACTACACGGCCCGGTCTCACTGCACGTGGGGGGTCAGCACACAGAGCAGCGGATTGTCCAGCTCCAGACACCCTAAAACCTCACACAAGACAGAGTTTCGCACACACACCCAACCACACCGCACAGGTGGGCAGCATGGGAGCAGTCATGTCCATGAAGGAAAACCGTGAGCTATCCTCCCATGGAGGCACGGCAGGCTTCAGCAAGTTCGGTCCCGCTAGTCAGGCCTCGAACACGGCCCCGCCGAGGATACCTCGGTGAGGGGTTTGTTTCCCTCCAGTTTGGCTGCCTAGTCACGGTGGTACTTCCCCGAGCACGAAAAAGCAGCCCTGGCACTGGAGGGGTCCCGGTACGGTGAAACGAAAGACCAAACGCGACCGCAGGACAGCGCAGCACACCAGTTATTCCCGCCCACGCCCAAAATGGCGGCAGCACAGCAGACCCTCTCCCACCCCAGCCCCTCTAGCCCGCGCTCCGGGGGCGGGGCCGCCCAGATTGACAGCGCGCTCCGGCCAATCGCGGGGCCCCGCGCTTCCAGCCGGCCAATGGCAGGGCGGGCCCGCGGCGGTCAGCGGGCCGGCCGCGCGCGCCGCCGGCGCGAGTCCTCCCTGCCCGCGGGCCAATGGCGG